CAGTCCAAATTCCTTCATCCCCCCGCAGGAAGGCCGGCCTTGACTCCCTCCCTCCCCCCCCTCATCCTGCCGCCGTGCCTCTTCCTTCATACGGTCTTTCCCCTTCTCTCCCATACCTTTAACCTCCCCCTCTCTCTCCCCACCGAAGTTACTTGGCACGCCCGTGAGCCAGCCACGCGGGAACGGGTAATCGCCCCTAGAATGGGACGATGTTGCACTCCTTCTCCCCTATTCATAACTTCCTCCCCCTTCCTCCTGTCCGCCCTACCCCCCGTTCTATCTAGTGGCCACCGCCCCCTACCTGCCTGATCTTCCCCCCCCTCCTGTCGGAACGACTTTCCCACACCCTCTATCTCTCCTCTTCCCTCAGTCAAAACTCTTTCATTCTCCCGCAGGAAGGCCGGCATTAACTCACTTCCTTCTCCCCCATCGGTTAGCCGGGGGCACACGCCCATCCCTACACCGTTTGCACTGCTCCCCCTCATCCTGCGGCCGTACCTCTTCCTTTATACGGTCTTTCCCCTGCTCTCCCATACCTTTGGACTCCCCCCTCTCTCCCCACCGAAGTCACTTGGCACGTTCGTAAGACAGCCACGCGGGAGCGGGTGATCGCCCCTAAAACGGGACGATGATGCCCTCCTTCTCCCCTTTTTCTAACCTCCTCCCTTCTATCCATATTGCCCCCCGTGCTACCTAGTGGCCGCCGCCCTCTATCTGCCTGATCTCCCCCCCTCCTGTCGAAGTGTCTTTCCCACGCCCTCTATCTCTCCTCTTCCCTCAGTCAAAACTCTTTCATTCCTCCGCAGGGCGGCCGCGCGGGAGCGCGTGACAGCCCCCAACATGGCACCGCGTCGTTCTCCCTTCGTTCCTCCGTGGTGGCAGCTATCCGGGGGCGTGCGGCTGCTCCCAAAACGGCGCTGCATCGCTCCCCCTCTCCTCCTCCATCTACAGGCGATGTTGCACCCACTCGCGGGGTAGCTGCTTGAGAACGCGTAACCGTCTCCCCGGCGTCATCCTGGGGCTGTCCATCCTTATCTCCCCGTGCCTTCAGGTGCACCGGGGGCTCCAAAACCTCCAGGGGGCGTCTCAAACCACCGGAGTCGTCCTCCCACGTCATTGTCTTCCTCTGCCGGGTCCCCATCCGGGGGCGAGTAACCATTCCTGGGGCAGGTCCTGGGGGATGCATGCGTGGCCCCAAGGTGACAGGTGGTGCCGCGGGAACGTCCCAAGGCAAACGGCCAGTAGGGGTAACGGGGGGTGGGGATAGGCGATCCTCACGGCGGTTGCTGTGTCGCCTGTGGATGGCTCTGGATTGAGCTGATGCAGGCAAAAGACTTCTCTTTCCCATATTTGGGCTGACAGGGTGTTCAAAAAGCACTCATCCTCTTCCCCTGTCTCTTGTAGCTAATAAAGTGAGAAAGAGCTTGTGGCCTAGGGGCTAATACTTCTGCTTAACATGCAGACAGCCCAGGTTCGAATCTCAGAAGGGTATGTCTGGCTGATGAAAACCAAATAAGGTTAGAAATAGCTATCCCAGTACTCCCTTAATTCTTTGTTAGCAATCCAAATTTTGAAA